TTCAAACTGATTCGATCAATGTGAATACTAACAAAATAACATATCACTGAACCATATAAGATACAGAAATAATAAAATATCGACAAGTAAAGTGAATAAATTGATGATTATAAAGCATTTGCAAAATGCTTTATAATGCAACAGTAGCATGCAATAATGATAAAGCAAAACGATGAAACTGATAAAACACGTCAAATGTGATCAATTCAACATTCAATTTAATTTCGATATCAATTTCAAAGCCACACTTCCAGATCGACGAACACCTACCTGCATATAGACAAAAATAGACATACATCGGTTTCTGAAGCATTCGAAAATGCCATACAAAAACACAGAAGGACGGATGTGTGATTGTACAATCCCAATCACTTCATTCCTCTCTTAACAAATAATGAGAACAATTCAGAGATTACTCAATTCATTGCGTCGCAAAGATTGTGTTGCTGAGAATAATATAAAGTCGATACTGATGACCGACAACAAATGATTAATTGTAGATGATATAAGTAAGTGCTCAGTAAAAATGAGCATTAATACGGATATGAATCAACTGCGTTCTTCTATTAAACCACCGAACCTGACGAGAAAGTTAACACCGCGTTCACATAGATATGTCGACGGAGTATGTGCTCAGTTGAGCGTTTAAGTAAGATTCGCATATGTTCAATTCATAACACTGATCAGTAATTTAAAAAATGAAGTGAATATAAACAGAACTCGATAATGAATGATGCATAACATATAAAAGCGATTGAATGATTAAAAATGACGATTCAGTAACGTCTTCATAAATTCAACTGCACTGGTGAACTGTGCCCACCAATAAGCCTCAGCACCTTCCAACCGATTACCATAAAAACCATTAATGTACTGGATATTCGACAATAAAGCTTGCGGATTTGCCTGAAATATACTGCAGTTGAATAACAGATCAGCAGTTTAAACAATTGTCTCGAGACTATTCCCTTCATTCGGTTCCGATAAAGTGCTCCTCACCTGTATAAGGATATAAACAAGTAAAGGTGTGATATCGTCGGCTGAAGCGGTACCGCGCTGAGGCGCGAGGAAGATTAGATTTTGGATGGTTTCACAACAACGAACAACACACGCGATTTTATCACGAGGCGATTTGTATGCATTGATTATCGATATCTCTGCTTGAGCTGATGGCCATGGACATTCACCGTGGAAACGCTAAATGTTGTTCATTACTACCTTTCTCTTTCGAGAGATTCATTTCGATCAAAAATTTGTAATGATCAAACAATTATCTCACTTCGCAGACTGCAATGAAACAACTATTACCATTGGTTATATCTTATTCATCAACATGAGATCAACACTTTTCCAAAAATCAAATCAGCAAAAAAATCAATTGATATGTATAACAATCCAGTTTTTTCCTGAGGGTTCACATTTTGATTTTACATTCATTTCTTCGAACATTCGAAAAAATATAATGAAAAAATNAAAGCAATCATTAATCACATCTCTCATAATCATCGCTAATAACAAATTTATACATTAAAAATTTCGAACCTGTGGAATTCTCAGTTCAGCATGATCTGGTGTGATTATTTGGGCAAGTTTGCGCAACGATTTATGGAATACACTGCAAGAAAAACTGCACTGAGGAGCAACCTCCAAGGTATCGATGGACTTTTAATCCAAACATTGAAATAAATCAAGCTCAAGTAAAAATATTTTGATATTGAATATGAAAGACGATTGGTCTTCAAGCAGAGACGTTGAACACGTGAACGGAAAAATGAAATGTTATGAAAGAGAGAGCAACCAACCTATCTCTGCACTGATCAGCCTCTCCATTTGGATAGAATGCGATCAAATGAATCTGTGCCATGATCGAACGTTCAACGCTTTTACGAGCATAAGCTAACATCTCTTTGTCTGCGTCCTTCCACATCGCCTCATTCGGCATACGCTCATACAACATTGTTAACGCACGTTCGACTGCATCTGTTCTTTCATCCTGATAAATTTGCTGCCTTACTTCACTTCATCTTTAAATTGTAATTCAAAAATTGAAGAAATATCAACGACAACTTACTTGTGCTTTCAACAGCTGAAAATCATTAATGAATCGACGCACGTACATATCACGTTGTTGTAAATAGAATCGCACCAATACTTCAACCAGACATTCAACAGTTAATGATTTCTCCCTATAATTCCATTCATTATCACTTCTATTTCACTCACGATCCCCAACAATATCAACATTTAACGCTATCAATACAAAACTGATTGTGACATCAACGTATTACGGTGATACGGTATTTTCATGTGACCATGGTAGCGAATATATTATTTATTCCTCATGAACATTATAAATATACGGATGAATTAGTTTGATAATAATAGGAAATACTTCTGAATCGAAAATAGTCTAATAGTAATAAAAGTATGAAAAAATAAACAGTGTAATACCTTTGAACACGGTTCAAAAGTTTTTCAAGATAGGAACGATACTGAAGGAGAGTGAGTCTTGACTGTTGTAAGTATAAAACATAAGCAGTACGTTTACGATGTTCATCCTTTAACGTTCTCAATAACTTACGAATTCTAAATATACAATAATAAATATCATAACGTTTTATATTATATCAAATTATTTTATACGACAACAGAAGTCTGATAAAGAAAGAAAATACAAGAATTTGATTAAAAAATTTGCAAAATAATTTCAAAAGTGATCAAATTTTGAAAAGATTAAACTCAGATTTCAACTAACTCTTTATCGCTGAACACCGTGATACAACGTAAGACTTCTCTAATTTGAGCACTCAATGTCTTCTCTTGTCCATTGATACTTTCAGCAAGCAATATTTGCAGAAAATTCTTCAAATACTGTGCATCGTTACATTCGCCTCTTCTTAAATTGAACTCATTAATTTTCATAAATTCATTCACAAACACAATTCAACTTTAATCATTTTGGAACTGACGTTAAAATAATTACAATACGAACGAAATCATCATTAAAAAATCAATTTACACGAATGAACACGTTAATATACAACTGGATATCGCGCAGTAGTTATCGACACTGTCACATTCATTTATATTCTATCGTGAACAACATCGCTACCAATCGGAATAACATCGGTTATAAAGAACGAACTTATTGATCTGATTTGCGGATGATAACGAATAATCGACAGTCGAATGCTCGCTGATGGTCATGTTCGAGAGATCTGGTAATGAAGATGATCCGATTGAACTGAGCACAAGTCGTAATTTACGTTTGGCATCGATAAAAGCACGACACTGAGTGACGTTATTCGCGTCGTAGTAGGGCAGATAGGACAGCGACGATGATGACGATAGCACTGAGATGCACTGCTGAATATCACTCCACTTTAAGTATACTTCATCGTTCAAATGAAATGAAAGCGATATGGAATGTGAGTTGTGAGAAAGATTAAAAACATAAAAAGACAAATTGCAAACAACAAACAACTTTTGTTGCATTCATCACCTTTCCATAAGAAAATAAAATGAATGCGATCAGAATCAATCGAATAACTTCTAAAACAGCCAACTTATTTCTATATTACTTTCTATGATACTTCGGCTGGATGATGAAGGTTATATGAATGATTCGCATGACATTCTTGTTTCGCANAGTGATTATTTCGACTGAGACCGCAGCAATTTAATTTATTTCTTCGCGCTATGATTATGGATTAATGAGCCGAAACATCAGCAGCATCAATGTTTTATTTATTGAAAGGGTGCTCAATGCGGAAGCATCTTAACAAAAGCAAACATCTGAAGGATATATACTAGTACAATACTAATGAATGAATGAAGAAGGGAACCTGAGCAGGATGGAGTTGATTCGAGACGCGTTCGAGATTATCGGGTGAATTATTGTAATCAATTACAATCGCGTGTTTACCCTTATACTTATCGAGAATCGCATTTGCTGTGTGTTCGTTACTTTCGTTCTTCTCTCTCAAACATCCCAACTCACCCATTGAATGACTGCCAGTTAGACGCTTTCGACCTGAAAATTCGGATCTTGTTAACCACAATATTCTTCAACGATGAGAAGCAGCAACACTAGTTTTGAAAGCGATATTAAATCGATCATGTGAACTTGAAAAAATTTGCCGATATGACTAGAGTACAACAGAATGGCGGTTTTGGATTAGGAAATAAGTTTGTTAGGATGATAAATTAGGATTAATATACATGAATTAAATAATTAAACAGTGATAAGATGATGAGCACTTCATTACGAATAGAATGAAATGAAATCAGTGAAAGCAGGTAAATACCAGTGATATCTTGCTGAGTATCTCGTTTGAATGTGTTCGGTTTGTCGTTCGAAACACACATTGATGGATTTGAATTGGCATCAACTGATGCTAATTCATTCATCGTTGTCGCTTGAGATAGTGACTGTTTTAAAGAACTCACTGCCATGCCTTGAGTACATTTGATTTTGTGTAAATGCTTCATACAAATGCGAAATATTACACCAAAATAAAATTTACGATGAACTACAAAAGAAAGTAAGCAATGATTAGTATTTCAGTGAAATAAACCTTTACGCATTTTGAGTGATTCGCCAACTTTCTGCAGTCCTTGAAAGATATTTATCTTCTTACGTGCAAAACCTGACGTATTGGCAGTTGCTGCTGTTTGAATACCTCCTGAATTCAATGAATCAGAACTGAGATCAACTCTGACGATGACAGAATAATGATTCGTCTGTACCATAAATTGATTTTGATGACTGCTAACGGCTTACTCGCACGACAATATTATAAAGTCTCTTACTTAAAAGCAAGTCGTGTAGATACAAAACACACTTATGATGAATTCAACGATAAATGTCACTTGTGCGTGGCGATAGAAACGACGAACCTGATATCGCGTTTGTATTTACATCAACGTTCTTGCTAGTCGATTTATCGCCGTCTTCTGATTTTTCATCAGAATTAGCTAGTTTAGTATCGTTGTGAACGTCACTTGAATGTGGGCAGCATGCATTCGACTGACTCAACTCGCCAACTCTATCCATTTCCGATACATCTTTCCTCTGTTTGGTCACCTCAAAATATCATGAATGATATGCACCCGCTTTCTCAAGGACTACATATCTCATATTATAAACAGTGTGTGAATGATGAACGAAACGAACATTGAATGGGAACGTATTATTGATGGGACTAAGAGAATGATCGCGCTGTTGCGAAATTGACTGATTGTCAATGTCATCGTTACAAAATGAGCCAGCTCGTGCCAATATGGATGCGGCTGGACTCGTGGACGTTGTGTGTGAATTGGCATTGGTCGTGATTAAATCCATTATGTTACTGGTTGGATTATAGGACGACGACATGGGCACATACTCAGCAAGTAGTGTCGATAGCGCATCTTCGTTCAGATCTCTTCAAGTTTTAATATATTTATGTCATAAATTTTCATTTTTCCACACAATGAATATCACTAGGAGATATTATCATTAACTAACAGTTTGAATCTGTGTAATCGTACAATCATAAGCTCAAATTTTTTGCGAGATATCAACAAATCTTCATTATTGAACGCAATAAAATACACCTTCAATATTTCATTCTGTTAATACATTCAGTCATAACAACACATTCACTTTCAAAAGGAACAGAGCAGGAAAGATATTATTCAATGAGTAACACACACACTCACTATCAGGTAAAATAATAGAGCATATCTCAAAAAAATGAATATCTCAAAAACTAACTTTGAAAACTCAGAATCGATATCAGATTTTGAATAGAATGAACTGCCGCTCGACTGACGTCTTAAACGTTCTCTACTATTACCATTGGCAGCTACTTCACCAATTGACGGAACATTAGGTGGCAATGCGCTATTTGATGGTATTTCATCGAATACCGACACGTCCACCGGAGGCACCTTCCTATGTTTATTACATCTATTTTCATTTATTCAACTTCAATTCCATTAACTGATCATTACTTATAAAAAAATGCAATAAAATACAGATCAGCCGCAATGTTGAAATAGCACTCCTTTGAACGTGATAAACAGTCAGAGAATCAAATTTACAGGAAATAACACAAAAATACTTCTTGGCCTGTTGCTGATGCGAACGATTACTGTTGTTGCTGATGGGATCATTAGTTGACGAATCGATATTACCGCGGTGAATTTGCTCGTTCAATGAATCAGTCGTTACATTCTTTGAAGGATTCAAATGCTTAGATTGTGTTGCGGCACTTATGACACCTGACGCTAAACTCGTTTCACTTTGAGTTGACATCAGCAACGGCGTATCGCCACCGCTGGTTCCTGCAGATTAGTTTCATTTTGAATAGGAGATGAACAATGAACACATGAACGCAATAAATTGCTGAACTGAACAATAAGTAGATGACGAAACAAATATTAACCAGATGCGGTATCAATGCGCTGATCAGTGGAATCGTCGTCATTGATCAGCAATAGGTCATCATTTCGATTATGCACCAGCATATTATCTGCTTCTGAATCACTCGCCATCGCATCAACAGACCACGTATCACTTCTATCCTCTGAATTCATCAATATACCCAGCGAGGACGAAGAGGCTGCACCTGCTTGATTAGCAGTTGTGTTTGATGCAATATTTGCCGTTGCAGCGTTATTATTTGCTGTTGTGGATGTCGGCAGTCCTTAATTCAGTATTTTTATTATCACATTCGCAAGATTTCTTCAATTCAAGTCAACCAACATACGACGATATCTCTATCGTGGACTCACGATCAGTCTCTCTGGGAGGTGTTTCCCTTCACCTTTTTCCTTTAATATCGAGGACATGTTTACATGCAATCCTAGATCCAAAAATTATGTAGCAGCACAGACTGAAACATGACAGTGGCCACATCACCAAAAGGACATTCGTGAATACAAGTAAAAAGAAATATGATTCAATAAGATTGAAACAGAAACGCAACTATTAGTCATTCTATTGGTGACCGCAGAAAGCGGTCTTGATGGTGCAGTTTCTTCGCTGACAATTGGTATTTGATGTGTATTATTGGTATCATTATTAGGTGGTTGTAAAAGCTGTTGGATATTTGCAGGCAGATTGCTGATCGCTTCGTGACGAGTGTCTGTCATGATGCCTTCCGTGTCTGATGGCTGAACATCTGTTGACCAACTATCGCTCACCAAAGAGTGCGTATCATCACCTTCAATTAGAGTCACTCAACAACCAGTCACCCTCCATTGAATTAAAACGAAATCATCTATGAATGAGTGCAAAGAGCCAATATTGTAGTGAACATTTAGACTGGTTTGAAAGTGACTTAAAGAGATAAATAACTTGCACAACGATAACATTTATATGTAATAACATATATAACTACTCATCCCAAGATACCCACTTTGCAAATACTCATTCTGTATGCAAATATGAATTGGTTGGGCAATGAATAAAACTCTATATGCCTTTAGGATGGAATAAAGGATCTGTAATAAATGTCATATGCACTGAAATAGAACGTACGATATCGGTGTTTGTTGTCTTGCTGAGGAAGACCGAATTTACCGAACTTATCTTCAAGTCCTTCGGAATTCTCACGACGTACACTCAACGGTAGATTCGGCATGTTCGACCGATGAAGATGATGACGTGTTCTCGTTGTATTGTTTGCATTTGCATTCGAAGTATCTTTAATTTATGTCTTTAAAATCACACTGATCCATAAAAATTATCAAACGAGTTATTCAATTTTTAACATCATTATCACTTCAACTAGAACCGGTTTTATCAAAGCGATCAAGAAATTAAAAGCACTTTTCTGGATGAAAGTAATCAGATGTTCAATGTTCCGTAAAGAATAAGATGAAGCATTCAAAGACCTTGCTGAACTGCCGCGTCTGTGTGTGATGACTGCGGTGTATCTCGACCACTCACCGAAGGTGGCCCACTGATCGAAGGAGAGCCTCTGCCAGAAACATTTGCACTTATCAAACCAACATCACTGAAGTTATCCGGCAACGTTGACGAAACGTCCTCGGCGTCATCCTCTAGCGCATCCTCTGCATTACCTAAATCATCATTGTTACCGTTTATAACCATTAAATTCCTTCTTAATCATCTCCTTAAAATCACATTAAATTCATGATACAATGAAGAGACATGCATACCTTCAATCGATGACGACAAACTAGCGCCTTCTTCTTCATCTTCACTTCCAGCATCAGTTACTCGATCTGACATACCTTCAATTAGATCGTTCCTTCCAAGCAACGAAACGACACAAACAATAAATATGATCAATAAATGAATAAGACTAAATTAATACCAATACTCTCAGAATCAAGGAAACGAGTTCGTTTCTCAGATGCACCGTCAGAAGTTTTATGTTTTCTGATCGATAACGGCTGCCGTAACGATTCCATAAACTTCTCCTCACTACACAATCCCAACGGTTCGCTATTGTCGCCTAATGCAAATATCAATACCTAAATGATTGTATTTCATCAGTAAGCATTCGTTATTGTGCTATGTATTAATGACGACTCACAATACATACTTTCGACAGATAATAAATAGCGTTCATTAATTTAAACGCGTTCAAATCGAATACAAATGAATAAACGTTCAACCTCAACGTTGGATGCAGCTCCTGGATGAGACCCATTACTGTCCTGCTGTGAAGAGTGTTGACTGCGCAAACGTAACTGTCCTTTGTGAGCAACCGTTTGAACTGTTCAATAAATATCATATAATTTGGATGCATTCAGATTTCGGAACGAATTATGATCAAAAACATCAACTATGCGTAACACACTCGGTAACATTCTCCAGCCTAATCGGTCAACACAATCACGATTTAAATATTCACCTCTATCTGCGAATGTTCGTAATTTGTTACTACGGGACGAAGTTGGCGATAGAGTTGAATTTTGAGCATTTCCATCTGACTTATTTGAGATCGGAGGAGACATTCTCGACTGCAATAAACGTATTATAATATTGTTATACAAAATGTACGAGAATACACAAAGCGAACACTTGCCGTTGTGATAAAATGAGAATAGACTCGCTAGTTTGCCAGTCGTATAAACTGCTCAAACGAAAAAGAAGAGTCAATAAAGTGAAAAATTCAAAGATTACTCCATCCCCACCATTGACTATAGGAACTTTATTATTGATGACGAATATAATGCATAAACCTGAAAGGAGTAACGACTGAATAATGGATAAATGATAAAGTATAATGTCGAGTAAACCTCATTTTTGGTATCAATATTGCGCTGAGGGGAATTTGGAGCATCGAAACGAGATGGCATTCGACGTATCAGATTGCGAATATCGCGACGAATATTAGTATCAGTTATCCGTTCGATTGCACTCGAACGTAATATCGCATGCTGTAATTATTACATCAGAACAATGAGAAGATTTATCCCTTTTTGTGGGGTTCATTTTTGTAATTTGTATAAAATGCAATAGCGTTAAGGATATTAATAATCGAAAAGAGTGCCTTGCAACATAAGAAAGCACTCACAAAGCAATTAAGCTCAGAGAAATTGGCAACAAAAGAACGTCTAAGATGTTGTTCACACTGATGACTGTCGAAGGTGTTCTTGGAAAAGAGTTCATTTAAAGACTCTCCACTGCTTTCTAATACTCGATGAACAATTTGTGCCATTGATCCCTGAATTGAGGTTTACATCATATTCACATTAGCACAAAAAA